CCTTTTGATGTTGATTCTTCTTCTTTCATCTTTCTTCCAACTGAAAATGCAGGATGATTAGGATTGGGAAGGGCCATTGCGTCACTTGCCATCATGACAACAACTGTGGACATGGTTGGTCTATCAGCTGCATCTTCTTGAACACACAATAAACCAATGTGTATGCATTTCATAACTTCACTGGCTTTGTGTATCTTTTCCAGCATTGGATCCAACATTTCCAAGCTTTTTCCTTCACACCAAAGTCTCCAACTCTGTATGCAAAGAGAAAATTGAAATGATATTATTTAGAGACAGACACAAAAAAAATGATGTTATACAAATTGTTGTATGTGTATCACACTAAAATGTTTAGAAATTCCAAAGAATATCGCTTTACAAGAATCTATTTCTTAATGGTATGATATCAGAAAACTCACATATACAAGAAGGCTTTGACCATGTTCTGAAAGATGGAATCCACTGTTCCTTTTCCCACGTATGATTTCTAGTAGAAGAACTCCAAAAGCGAAAACATCAGATTTCACTGAATACAATCCTTCCATAGCATATTCTGGAGCCATGTATCCACTGTTCAAAATAAAAAAAGATTTAGTACAGCAAATTTGTATAATTGATTACATACTAGTGTGTCATGATATAGAATAGTTGCCACCAACACATACTAGGTGCCCATAACTCTCTGTGTATTTTCTTGACTCTGGCCTTTTTCAAATGTTCTTGCCAATCCAAAATCTGATATTTTTGGATTCATCTCTTGATCCAGAAGTACATTGCTGGCTTTTAGGTCTCTGTGTATTATTCTAAGTCTGGAGTCTTCATGTAGATACAGAAGTCCTTTTGCAATTCCATTGATAATGCTCAGTCTTAACTTCCAATCTAGTTGCTTTCTTTTTTCCTCATCTGGCATGCAAGTGACAGAGGAAAAGGTTGTTAGCACAGTACATATGGAATAGAAAGCCATAACCAACTTGTCTATGGAAATTGTGTGATTCAGAAACTACTTTTAGACTTGTAGAAGCAATGAGGAAAATAGAAAGTGAAGGCATTTAGCAAAACATACTAAACAGGTGAGAGGCAAGGCTAGAATTTGGCATGTACTCGTACACAAGCAGCTTTTCATTTTCCTCAATGCAGCATCCCAAGAGTCTCACAAGGTTCCTATGTTGCAGTTTGGCTATGAAGATCACTTCATTCTTAAACTCCTCCAAACCTTGATTAGATGCTTTAGAGAGTCTTTTGACAGCAACTTCTGTTCCATCTTCCAAATTACCCTGAAAGAGAATGATGGTGAAAGGAAGAAAGAAACTGTCAAATAAGTAGGCCAAGAAAGAGTCAAAGAAAAACTGTGAATAGCTTGAAAGAAAATCCAAAATTCAGTGACACCTTGTAAACAGGACCAAATCCACCTTCTCCTAATTTAGACAACTCTGAAAAGTAATTAGTGCTCTGTTGAATCTAGATTAAAGGGATTATTGGAAGGTCTGCATTCAGTGCTTCTTCTCTTTGAACATGGCCATGAAAAGATCTTGGGGTGTTCACTGACATCAATCCATCTACGAAGGAAACTAGTCAGTTTTTATTTTGCTTTATTTCCTCAGATGAATGCTTCAGCATGTGAATGTAATGGTAATCACCTTTATTTGTCAAATACTTTCTCCTCAAGTAATAGACAGAGCAACTTAGAAAAACTAGTGCCACCAATACACTCACAATGATTATGATCAATGTTTTTGAGCTAATTGAACCTCCCTTATTAGCTGCAACAACAAAAAA